AATAAAATGGCCCCGTCCGTGTTAAAATATATTTTTAAAAATTTACAAAACTAAACATCCTACAGTATTTTAACAGTCTTTATTTTACAGTTAAAATGTATGTTTATCAAATAAAGTCTAATGTTACAACTAATCGGGGATCYCTTTAATATAAATGTAATTTTCGTTCTCAGCTTATCAGCCATAGCTTTACTTTCTCAGTTCAGTGTAGTGTACTCAATGAAAACATATTACCAAGTGTGACCATTTGTTCCCTTTAGTCTCAATAGCTGATGCAAAGCTTGATTGATTGATTTATTGAGATATATGGCGCTTTACAACAACCAACTAATGTGACCAAAGCCCTTTACAGTAAAAATCACATCACAAGAAAAACAAAACTCAAAAATAAGGGAAAATGCCACTGTGCTACACTGTATTAAAAGCCTGGCTCAATAAATATTGAGCTTAGATTTAAATCTGCCCAATACTAATTAGAGCAAAACACTTAGTTTGAACTAAGACGATTGCAAAGATTGTCACTTTAGGGTACCAACAAATCTGTTTTAGCATATATTTGTAAAATTAACATGGAATCATTTGATTTTCCATTTTTTTGTTTACTCTTTGAAATAAGAAAAAATAAAATTAAAATATAGATATGCATTAGAAAGTTGTTTTTATTTGAATCACTTTTTGAGCTGTAGCACTTCCTGTGCAGCCTGGAGCCAGGAATTTAATTTGGCTACAGAAATAAAAACATGCAATGCAAAATTCTGGATGGTGTAAAAGTTTGAATTGTCATCTTTGTGTGAACTACCATGGAGGTTTGGAAGTGAGTCTGTTTAGACTGGTCAWTATTTGCTTGTCAGTGCAGTTCCAGTAGACCCAGTTCCAAGCTTTTTGCTTTTTTCCACAGTTTGGCTGCTTCAGCACCACACCATTTCTGTTTCTGCAGCATCAATTTATTTTAGCAAGATTGGAATTTAGATTTGAATAGTAGTTGTTTCTTGTGTTCAAGTCTACTGTGTAAATACTAAAACATTAAAATACAATTTAGTTAATGCTGTTGAAAGAAAAAAATAGTGTTCATTAACTGAAGTCGAGACGASAACAAATTTATGTTAAATAAATTGGAGTGTGAAGAGATTAGACCATGCAACCCCAGATCTGGTGGAGTGAAGCTTTATTGCTCACAGCAGGAGAATCAGAGCAACGCTGACTGAAACCCAGACTTCCGGTCCTTTATACAGAGCCTTCAGTGCCTGGTGCGCCCCCTGCAGGCCTAGCTGCATCGCAGGCTAATGTGTGCGAAAAACACAAGAAAGGCTCTGCTTTGATTTTTTTTTTTACTTATTTTTATTGGGGGGGCTTTACCAGTAGTTATTTATTAAATGAGACCAAAAATGTTCTCTAAACACATTTTATATCCCTTTTGATATGTAAGAACCTGCTTCATGAGACTAATACCAGCTTAATCTCATAAAAGTCATGTCCCACAAGATCTTGCAG